TTTTTTTTTTTTTTTTTTTTTTTTTTTTATATGATGGGGGGTTTCCTTTTCCTTCCATGTTTACTAATGAAATCGTTCTGATTGTCCGTTTCTTCCTAACCGAACAATCTCCTTTTACTGGGTCAAAATTTGTATTTAATAATATTATCAACCATTTGATGTCAATATTCTGGTGTTTTTCATTAATCCTTTGAAATTTTGGAAACTGGGTTTCGATGAACGCATGCAATTGATTATCATTTGGGTTTTCTTTTCTCCGATTGTTCTTCGAATTCAGTCGTAATTCTTGAGGGTGTGAGTTTGTAAATCAACCCATTTGCATCCATTAAAGCTTTTGGTTGAGACAGTCGACATATATTCCTTCCCGGAATGCTTTTCCGTTTGTAGCTCTCTTGAATCGAGGGTAATCACTAGATTTATAAACTTCTGTCGTGAATATGATATGTGATTGCTGCAAATAGCATAATTAGGCACATGCAGACCTTCTTTTCTCATAATTTCGCAGATTTTCATGGTTATGCATACGAGTTTTAATTTGCATGTGTGGTTGATGAATTAGGTTTTCACGTTATTGCAGTCTATGGACCAGATTAAATCGAGAGCAGATTCTGAGGCCAAAGGGGTGAGATTTGTGATTTCTTCTTTTGATATTGAATGTATTATGGAAATTTATCCTTGTTGCGTAAATGTACGCTATTAGCATCTGACCTTTTGATTGCACAGATCTTCTTCTCCTTCTATTCTAGAATACAATTTGTAGTTTTTTCTTGTTTAACTTCTGTTCTCGAATTTTATTCTGACTTTTGTTTGTTTACCTGGTGATCATAGGTTAACTTCTTGTTGGTGATGTTTTTGTAACGACTGGTTTGAATATTCTTTTGATGGCCTGAGCTCTAGGCACTATAAACATATATATTTTTTCTGTTATCAATTTATTCACTAGGAATCCAAGTCGAGTCATGATCTCGACTGATCTTTAATGTTAATTGTGATCTGTATTCGATAATTTCAAACTTATAAAAGATTTCACTTGATTGTCTGCAAGAACCTGTTATCAGGAAACTTATTAATTTAGATGGTTAGTAGGTTTTGGTTTTCTATACATAAGGTCCAATTATTTGTTTTTTGCTCTCAGAAAAAGTTCTATGGTCTTAGTCTTTTTCTTCTGATTGTACTAGATTGGCTATGCTGCATTTCTTTTATTTTTACTTTGTGATTTGTATTCCTTTTATTTGAAATATTGATGGTCTTTTTTTTTTTTCAATTTGTCATCGCTAGGAATGCCTTTTTGTTTAAATAGTAATATTTTTATTATTATTTTCTTGATAGAAACCAATCATTAAGAATAAATGAAAGAATACAAAATAATAATAATAAATAAATAAAAATAAAAAGGGGCGAAAAACAACCGATTTTTAATCGGGTGACTATTGTATTTATTTATTTTACTTTTCTCCTCTACCATTTCATGGTTTTTCAATTTTTGAGCTAATTTCTGTTCTGGATGTCCACGTGTTTTGTTGTGTTAAGCTAGACATATATTTAAGAATTAATACATTATCCTTTCTCACTGGAGTTTTCTTTTTCCAGGATCATTCTTCTAAGAGCAGTCATAAAAGTAACCAGACTGTTGAGAGGTTGGGAAGTCCTCAGCATCAGAAGGTACATAACTTTTGCACCATTTTTAGATGCTGTGGCAATTGATTTCCACAAAACTTCAGTAATAAGTGGAGAATGCATGATTTGGATTAGAGCGATAAGTCGAGACTATTTCTTGTACACTCAATGTCCAATTTAAATGCAATTCCTTTGGTGGGTGGAATCTGTGCCTTCGGTTTTGTTGGTATTTGTGAGTTAATTACTTTGAACAGAATCTTAGGTAAGCTAACACTACAATTTTTGCTTTATTGGTCTTTGCCACACTTTAGATGCTGGGATTCAGGAACACCTTTTTCTCTCATCTGTGTGCTAGTTTCTTGGCCAGTTGATATTTTTTCAAGTTATTCATTTGTCTCGATGCCGGGCTCTTCTAGTTAACATTCTATTCCACTTCTTCTTAGACACTTCTTTTTGACAGAGGCTAGAATTATTTGTTCTTATGCAATAATTGAATTGTTGTTGAGAGCCCTGCTACATTTATTGTTGAGTTGTTTCTGAGCTTCTTGGTGCAGTTCCTTGGCTAGGTAGTTTTGTGTAGTATTTTCCTTCCAGGGTCACATTTTGCTTTCTCATATAATTTACTTGTATATTATGATTGATGTGTGTGTATCTTGTCCAAAAAAATTTAAGTACCATTTATCAGCAACTTTTTTGTCATGGTGCAGATTTCAGCTAGATGGGAACCGGATGAAGCATGCAGGCCTTTAATTGATGAAGCGCCTGTATTTTATCCTACTGTTGAGGTAATATCCTTTATTAGAAGAAATATTGCATATGCTTCTTCTTCTTTTTATTTATTTATTATTATTTCTGTAGTGTTTGTATCTGGGGCATGATTTATGGTTGAGCTTTGTATTTCTCTTTTACGCTCTTGTTAATCCACTTTTAACATTCATTAGGAATTTGAAGATACACTTGGATACATAGCTAAGATTCGTCCTCAAGCAGAATCTTATGGTATATGCCGGATTGTCCCTCCATCTTCTTGGAATCCACCATGTGTTCTCAAGGAGAAATGTAAATGGGAAAATGCCATGTTTTCTACTCGTATTCAGCAAGTCGATTTGCTGCAAAACAGGGAGCCCATGAGAAAGAAAAGTAGAGGCCGGAAACGCAAGCGAAGGAAGCATTCCAAAGCTGGTACATCAGCTAGGATCACCAATCTTGGTGTAGAAGCAAATGCTACTTCCGAGTCTGATGAAAAATTTGGATTCAATTCTGGGTCAGACTTCACACTCAAAGATTTTCAGGCATATGCAGACTATTTTAAGGAATGTTATTTTGGAATTAACCAGGGCCGAGAGGATTTAAATCTTGATATTGAATCTAGCAAGAGACAGGAGCCTTCTGTGGAGGATATAGAGGGTGAATACTGGCGGATAGTTGAAAAATCTACCGATGAGGTTGAGGTATAGAAATATTGTTTCTTTACTAGTTTTTGTCTTTCTTAAATGTTTGCATGTCAGTGAGTACACTGTTTTATTTTTGCATACTAATCATTGTTTTATTATGCCACATTACAGGTTTACTATGGAGCTGATATAGAATCAGGAACATTTAGCAGTGGCTTTCCCAAGGCCTCATCCCTGGTAACTGAAGGAAGATCAGATCCGTATGTAAAGTCAGGTTGGAATCTTAATAACCTCCCTCGCTTGCCAGGTTCTGTTCTGTGCTTTGAGGAAAGTGATATATCCGGAGTTCTAGTGCCATGGCTTTATGTTGGAATGTGTTTTTCGTCATTTTGTTGGGTAAGTTCATCTTCTTTTTTTAAGAAGAGCGGAGACCTCTCATCTTCAGTTTTCTTTTTGTTGAGTGAAATCTCTTGTCAAAAGAAATTGCCATCCTCCACCTCTCCCTTTAGGTATCCTATTCCTAATATCCATCTGTTCTTCCATTAACTTTTAAATATGGACAATAATTTGTTAATAATTGACAATGACAGCCTAGTCTTTGTATCAGCTTGTTTAGTAGCAAAGCCACTGAAAAATTAATGCCTTGTAGTTATTTCATATATTTGACACCAGTAGAAATCTAAAGGTTATAGAAGTACGTATGGTCATGATGGAAGCCATACATCTTTTTGCATATTTATTATCTATTGCATCTTTCTCTCTTTAGTAATAAAATGGATATTGATATTTAGCAGTTACTTGTTTTTTGAGCCTTGGAAAATGTTGACCTATGTTGTATGAAATATTTAATATTTTCTTCTCAAAAGTCATTCCAGGTTTTTTGTTGTGATTTTTTTCCAGCATGTTGAAGACCACCACCTTTACTCTTTAAACTATGTGCACTGGGGCGATCCAAAAGTATGGTATGGAGTTCCTGGAAGCCACGCATCTTCTTTAGAAGCTGCAATGAAAAAACATTTGCCTGATTTATTTGAGGAACAGCCAGATTTACTTCATGAATTGGTAATTTGATCAATTTATTATTTTCTAACCATACTAGAATGAAATCCACAAACATAAACCTAAACATCTCACCTTAGTTGCAAGTTGTAAAAGTGTTGGTTTGTTATCGTCCAGTCTTAATGATACATCCATATAGATATCATTAAATTGTCTTTCAAATAGCTCATATTCTCGGGACATATTTTCCATCAACAGTAGAGTAATGGACCCTTATACATACCTAGTCCAATTCATTGGATGGTTTGGGACACCTGCTGTGACTTCAATGTTGTATAGCGGGAATCATGAGTCCCCGTCCCGCCTCTTACCTCATTTATTCTCATGGGGATCGGGGCGGAGATTCCCTTTGGGGAATTTTTTTCCGTTTTTATTTATATATTTTTTTAAAAAAATATCCTTTCAAAGAATTTTTTTAATGGATAATTTCCATTTTCCAATATAATTTCTACTAAAGAAAGGGTAAAACATCCTAATAAATCTAGTAGTATTTCATAAGGAAAAATATAGTTTATTCTGCATAATTTCTAAAAACTCAAATTTCAATATTTACTACATAGTCTTCAACCTTCCCAGTCCTGTGGGTTAAATAGATATCTCTAGTGCTATATGTTCTAGCTTTCTACTTTGATGTAGTCAACTGGTGTACTTGGTAACTTTCTGTCAAATCTTAATGACTTTTTTTTTTTGCAACAGGTCACTCAATTATCTCCTTCAGTACTCAAATCTGAAGGAGTGCCTGTGTATCGAGTGATCCAAAATTCCAGGGAGTTTGTTCTTACCTTTCCCAGAGCATATCATGCAGGATTTAATTGTGGGTTCAACTGTGCTGAGGCTGTGAATGTGGCACCGGTTGACTGGTTGATTCATGGGCAAAATGCTGTAGAACTTTATAGTGCGCAGCGACATAGGACATCACTTTCACATGATAAATTGTTATTTGGTTCAGCTCAGGAAGCTGCCAAGGCCCTTTGGGAGATATTAGTTCTAGAAAAGAGAACTCCAATTAATCTACATTGGAAAAGTGTGTGTGGAATAGATGGAGATCTTACAAAAGTGATCAAGGTAAACCTTTCTTTCTCTTCCTCCCAATATCTTCTGTTTGCATTTGCATAGTCTATATGAATTTGGCTCTGATTAAGCTGTATGGCTTAATAATTGATTCGTGTTGTAATAAAACTGGTGTTATCATGTCAATATTCACAGACAAGGGTGAAGATGGAGGAGGAAAGAATGAGTTGCATTCCAACTCATATGAAGTTGCAAAAGATGGAAAGTGAGACTGATTGCAAAAGTGAAAGAGAGTGTTATGCCTGCTTCTACGACTTATATCTATCTTCAACCTCATGCAAGTGTTCTCCTGATCGGTATTCATGTCTTAAGCATGCTAGTAACTTTTGCTCGTGTCCAGTAGGTGAGAGGTGTGTGCTCTTTCGCTATAGTATAAATGAGTTGCACACACTTGTCGGAGCATTAGAAGGGGGATTAGATCCAATTAAAGAATGGGCCTCAAGCTACTGTAAAATGGAGAAGGATGATGAGTCTGTAGCTAAGGTGAAGTTGGGCAGCAGACTGATTGAAAAACCATCTTGGTCCCCAAAAATAATGGATAAGCTAAAAAGAACAGACGTCCCATGCAGTTCATCTAGTCATGCTTCTTCAGAAGTAGTGCAGTCACAGTCTCATCGTGGATCACTTAGCTTAAATACTTCCCACCATAGTTCAGATAGTCAGAATGACATTGTGAATAGTGAAGTCATGGTGATAAACAAATACAATAAGGTGGGGCAGGAGTGCTGCATTGATTTGAACGTTGATATAGTTTCTGATGAGAACGGTAGTTGTGGGCTCCACGAATCTGATAGTAAGATAATCGTTGATTTGAAGGAAACTTATCCTTCAGTGTTTGAAGAAAAGTACATTTGTAAAGCTGCACATGAATCAGAGTTGATGGAATTGGATATCGATCGTGTAAACACCCATCCGGTTAATTATTACTCTTCAAGTGTAAAAGATGGTGTGAGAACGAGCGGATCTAATGGTAGCAGGTTGTTTGGAGTTGATCTTTCACAGTCGCAGTCTGCCTTTTCATCCAACCATGCCTCAAAAGTAGAAACTCTAAAACACTTGGATAAAAGGATACCATCTGGGTCAAGTTCTCCTTGCAAATTGGTTCCTTTTATTGAACCTATAAATATTGGAACAGTTATGTTTGGAAAGCCTTGGCACTGCGAGGAGGCCATATTTCCCAAAGGTATTACATAAAATTACTTGACACCACCAAATGATTAGCTTTAGTTTCCTAATGCAGAGGGTTACCTTTTCTAATATCTTTTTCTTTGACTTCTTCAGGTTTTAGAAGCCGAGTTAAATTCTTTAGTGTGATTAATCCAACTAGTATTGCTACCTACACATCAGAAGTTCTTGATGCTGGGCTTCTGGGACCTCTATTCAAGGTGAGTCACCTCCGCTGAGACGATTTTAAGTTTCAAGATTGTTTTCCTTGAAATGACAAAAGTCGGCGTTTACTCTGTGCCTTTCCAGTTCATGTTGAATTGTTAATAGTTTTTTTAACATCCTTTTCTATATTTAGTAACAATTTCGTGAGTTTCTCTAATTATTCAGTTTGTTCTCTCAAAAACTAGCACTATAGGTTTTCCAGGACAGTCTCATTTAGAGAGCTATAAGCAAATTGGTTGTGTATTAATTGTTTAATAAATTCAGGTGACCTTGGAAGAATCCCCTGGTGAAAACTTCACTAATACCTCAGCAACCAAATGCTGGGACATGGTAGTACAGAGAATAAACCAAGAAATCGAGAGACAGAACCTTAGATTGGGAGGAACACTTCCTTTGCATCTTTTGAAGGAAGTTAATGGATTGGAAATGTTTGGATTTCTTTCACCTCATGTTATTCAGGTAGGACCTTGCTTAAATAGCTTCAATCAAATTTATTTGTTACCTGGACAAGATCCTTGATGTTTGATGTCTGTCCTTTCTTGGTGCATTGCAATATCGTTTGGGTCATCGGATCAACACTGTTTTCATTCTCTGTTAACGATTTGCTTCAAATTTCTTATTTCAGGTGATTGAGGCTCTTGATCCTAACCACCGGTGTAGGGAGTATTGGAACCACCGGCATCATGCAGTACCCTCAAATTCAGGTGACAACACTAACTGCAAAAATTCTGCTTTAAGATTAAATTTCTCTCGGGGCGAAACAAGTGCAACTACTTTTGATATCAATAGGGAAGAGGATGAAAATGTCAATGCAACTATAGCAGTTGAAGGGCATCATCAAAGTGAAGAATTTCGGTCAGTATTAAAGGGGCTGTTGAATAAAGCAAGTCCTGAAGAATTGAGCGTGCTGCGGAGCATATTCTGCACAGAATTGCAAACAGCTGAATTGAGAGCAGAATTTGCAGCACTGATCAAAGAGAAACAGGAATAGTGTAGATAGTTTAGTAAAATATATGTAGGTGTCATCATTCTTTTCTAATTCAAGCTTTAGCTCTTTCTCGGTCAATTATCGAGTCTATTCTCTCTAATGATTCCTAGCTTAGACTATGCGACAAATTAAATTATTCTGCTGTCTGAGATATATGCTATTCAGCGCCATCGACAACAACGATTACGATATGATTGGTGCTGCTCTCATCGTAGGAGATTCTGCTAATTTTGCTGACTTGTGCAAGTGTCTGTCTTAGCGTTGCATTTACTAGTAGGCAATTGGTTTACCAGAGTCCAGAGCTTGTGTGTTCTTCTATCTTGATTCAAACTCTGAGAGCTGAATTATATCAGGAATCTGTGACTTAGATCCCACTCGGTGCTCTGTTAATGGTAGGAGGAGGATTGGTATTGATGAGAGTCTGGTACCCATTTTTTGACCAAACTGAGCAAAAAATTTGCTAGGTGTTGTGTGTAAATTTGGCCAGTTACTAACATTTTACCTGAATCTGTTTCAGTATACTAAACATAATGCTACTTTACCACTAGGGTATAACCCAAACACTCTGAGTGTGTTCTTCCATTTTTAACTTGAGCTGTTTAACACACATTCATGGGATTATCATATTCAATGTCATCTTCCTTTCAAGTTTGTGCATTCAATTTCTAAGACTTTGTATTATGGAAGGAAACTAAAAGAAACTGGAATTTCATTGATAAAGTGACAGGTACAAAAAGAATGGAAGGGAAAGCTAAAGGTCTAAGCAATAAGATTTGTAAACCATCTTCAAGATAGATTCTTCTTTGAATAAGGTTGACCTGGCCTACATGCCAGGAGACTCTGGAGATGAATAAGGTCAACTTTTTAGGTAAATTAAACTCACGTTTGTTAGGCAGCTTTCTACCCTTATTAATGCATCATATGTTGGTCTGTTTATTAAAATATATTTCTTTGGGAGTGAGGATGGGGATGCAATTCCAATTTTCCTACTCAACCTGCAAGATTAGAAACTTACTTTTGACCAGTAGAGATTGACTCAGTCTCCTCTTCGAGGTCAAATCCTTGACTAGTCAACAATATGACTACGTCAACATTACTAACCCCAAAGAAAATAAACATCCTCCTAATTGACCAAAGCTTGTATCCATTCCAAACACCTTGCAAGTAACTAGTAATGTGGCACACAACATAGTCATCTACTATTTTGTATATTGTGAGATCCCGGTTGGAGAGAAAAAACATTCCATATAAAGGTGTGAAAACCTCTCCCTAACAGATGCATTTTAAAACCGTGAAGCTGATGTTGATACATAACAGGCCAAAAAATGGACAATGTGTTAGTAGTGGGCTTGAACTATTATATCCACGGTACCATCTACTAAGGTGTATATGATTGGTTTTTTCTCACAATGACAAGAAGTTGTTGTACACTAGTCGGGGCTAACTTTACATGGCCACAAATATACAGAGCGACTAGTTTAGACCTACCATGGTGTCATTTTGTGCAAGGAAGATATGGTACCTTCTACCCAATCAAGTTAAACATGGCCTCTATTTTGAATCATGAACAGTTTTCAAGTATAAATAAGGACCTTCGTTATTCTGGATCCTAAAAAATGAAAGCAACTTCAAAGAATTAAGGAATGGAATTACCCTGTCTGTTGGAGCCGATACCCTCTAATCGAGCTCGCTATCAGCAATAGGCCAAAAGCGTTTCCGATGAACATCCATGTGCGGAATATAACTTCTCATTCCCCCGGCAATTAAGGCAGAAAAGAAAGCTTAAGCCTTCGACTGTTCATGAACATTGAAGTGTCGAGTCGCTTGCTCGCTAAATTATGCCACATTCTTTTCAGGTCTTGTCTTTCGATGTTTTGATCCTTCTTCTCGTAAAACTAATAAGAACAAGAACATTCGTATTTATCTTAAGGTACAGATAGGAAAATCAAAACTAAATTTTGCCATGCTCTTCTCCATGTTTTTATATAATGTACACGAGTCTCAAAGGCGAAGGTGCTAACAGAGATTGGCAAACACAAATTTCTTCGAAAGCAATTACACTCAAAGCAATTACACTCAAAACTTGCAAGATGAAACCATTATCTTTTAAAACAAAGTTCTGAAAATATATAGGAGTTCATGATTCCAAAGATCATGTGAGGTCATTTTCATCCAGTGGTTCTTCGTGCTCGTCTGTTGCATCAGCCTTCAGTGCACTCACATCACCTGTAGGCAGTTTTCTGGCAAGCCTGATAATCTGCAGCAATTTCGTTTTGACCAAAGTAGGTCGATAAATCAGTCCATGACACAAAAATAGAAATCAAGCAAAATTTAATGATACAAGCTACACTGACCAAATCTAACATTTCTCTACATAATTTCAAAGTGACGTCAGTTAAGCAAATATTTGAAGAAGCCATGAATTGAAATGTGCTGGGGGCATTTAGATTGCTATGAATAAAAATAGTTTCAGAGGAACCATGAAACTTTCAAGTTTCTATAACTTGATGCAGAAGTTCATCTGTCATACAAAATCAATTTTGGACCAAAATTTTGGGAAATCTCTCGTTGTTGCATTTTGAATTGCATGTTACGGTAAGTGATGATGTCTTCTCACTTGTTTTGAAACCCCAAAATAAAACCAGAACCATATGAAAAGAAATGCTTGGACGGTTGTTTCTTCCATGTCCTTGTTTACTATGTTTCAACACTATGTTTCCATTTCTTTCTCGTTCGCACCTTGGAGTTTCAAAGTAAAGTAACATTTTCTTTGCATTTCTATCTCTTCCTTTTCAAAATGGGGAATCTTTCCCAAGGGAAATAAAAAATGATCTGGTTGTAATTAACAAATAACATTCACAATCAACTTTTTACATCAATTGAAATGTAAAAACATTACCACATGATCAAGATGAGAAATAGTGCTTGATTGAGCCACACGCTTGATTTCCTCAACATCTCCTTCCATATAAGCAGATATTAGCTTATTAGCAGCACGGTATTGGTCAGTTCTCAAAAAAGCATCAACTCTGCATAGAGAAAATAACAGAATTTCAGCCCAAAAGTACTTCTTTAGGATGTCGTGTGCTATAAAATGTTAAAATGGAACAACTTTCTCATCCAAAATAACATAAATTTTCACTAAAGGTTAAAAAATTATCCATCACCAGTTCTACCATGGAGAAGGAAAGCCTATTTGATCTCTCGGCAGCTTAAATACTCCTACCATTTGTCTAAGTGAAAAGAAAGATCAATTAAAAAATAACACCTGACCCGTCTATAGAAGGGAGAAGAGAGCACCCAGATGGCCATCAGAGAGTTATCTTCACTAGCTTGTTCCTTAGATTAGGAGAAGGTGAATATGGCTACTCTGCTGCTTTTATATAATTAATATTAATCTAAGGTAGGAAATAAATGCACACATGTACGTCAGATTTATATGCACAACCAGATGTACAACCAGATGTGCGTCTAATTTACAAAGTAAAGAGGAAGGCGTATATGTGCGTCTGATTTAAGCAAAGTAAAGACAACCCTCTTAGCCTTTTTTCTTTTTACTGTGCCCAGCAATTCCGATTACTTCGTTTGTCCTTTACTAAGTCCAAATAACAGATATTTATCATTTTCTGGACTTGATTGATGTTGGTTGGGAAAAATATATCTTCTTGTACACATATAAAACAATATAATGGAGATAATAACCAATGGAGACAGATCTTAATTTCAAAGATCACATTCTGAACTTAAAGACATAATTAAACAGCGTATAGAACAGATGCTGAGGATCCTATTAAAAGTGGATCAACATCTGGTATATAATTGAATACCTACCCAAGGCTAACTGGAGAATGACCAACCTGAACTTTGTATGAAAATCTGGGAAGCAGATGAAAAGATAATCATGGTATAGTCCAGAATTTATACTCACTGTGAACAGTCATTGTAGCACTTCTCAGCTTGTTTGAAGTCATGGGCGTAGAGGTAAACAATGATCGCACTAAGATATGCCTGGAATTAACAAATATATTATTTGCAATAAGTCTCATTTCTAGGTAGATATTGCAGCACAAGAATGCAGTTTAACTCTTTCAACTACTAATCACTCTCTTTATATGAACTTTTCATTGACTAATAAAAAGAAACAAAAAAATATAATTAGCCTATAAATGCAACACCAGTAAATCTAAAAATCATCAATGTGATAGAAAGATAACAATTTTCTTCTAGGAAACTCAATTAACAGGCTTTTTCCAATGATAAGGAAAATTTCATTGCAAATTAATATAATAAAAGTCAAAAAGTAGAATAACTCCTACCTTGCCCTGGCTATGAGTTGCATTGCACTTATCGGCTGCCAAACCCCATCGCAATAGCAGTTCTGCAGCCTCAGAATATCTACATGGAAAAGGAAGCTCATATATAACCTAAGATTTACTACTAATTTTTGTGAAATAATTCAATACTTTAAGGCTTTTGATTATGGTAGTTTCAAAATAATTCAAAACTTACTTCTCTAGTTTTACAAAAACACTTGTAGCATCACGATATAAATCAAAGGCCATTTGTTCTCTGCCATCCTCTTCCAGAAGTGTACAGGCATCAGTGTATAATGTGATAGCTTCATCTGGCTTGCCATCTTCCAAAGCACTGTAAGAAGATATACAATTAAAATGTTCAAGGGCATCTATAGTAAGATATACTTGTATCAACTTGTATGTTTGTAAAACATAAAAGCAGAGACATATTCCTTTAAGATACATTTATGGTTCATCCATCCCAGTGAAGGGAGAATACAGTAGTCCATTGAGGAGCTCATTTAGTATTATTGTCTTTGACCTGTGACTGCTCAAGCATAAATGAGCAAATAAAAGGCAAATGCAACTGTGCATGCAGAAGGACAGTAGCCATACATGATAGACTTATGGAGTACAAACTACTGGAGCCAACAGCAAGGCAAAGTAGGTCAAAGCTATTGTATGATTTTAAAATATGAACGGAAAACTTATTGTGCAATTGGGTGATGAAAAACTACCGCTAGAGAAATTACAGCAGCAAAGAAATGTAAACAACAAAGATTCCTTCCCTTGAGAATTAAGATTTACTACTAATTTTTGTGAAATTTTTGTGAAAGTGATCCTCTGGTGTTCCAAAGGAGAACAAATTTGAGTTTTGTTCAATTATTATTGACGTAAAAAACTTATTTAGAATTTTCATATGCTTTATATCCTTGAATAGAGGAGCTTCATTATTTTCTGGATTGTTTATGCATTAATTAGTTCTGAGAATGTTGTTGACTGCACAAAGCTAACTGATAGCTTTTTTTGGTTAAGAAACAAACAATTTAAATGCAAATAAATGAATACAAAAGAAGAAGAATAAGAAATCTAGCCTCGAGCAATTTGGATGAAAGACGAAAATTATGTGATGTTGCATAAAACATATACTTACTGAGCACCCTTTGATAGAGCATCAGATGCAGGTTGCGATCTCCCACACAAAATATACAACTCAGATGCCCTTCTATAAAAGTCAGCAACTTCAGTCAAGTTACCCAGTTCCTTTG